GGGGGGAGCGCAACACCATACGCTGCACCTCAGCAGAGATCTGATCAATTAAACACTGCTGAGAATGTGGGCCAGTCTGTCACAAGCACATACCCCATGAACAATAGTGCAAAATGTTTAGCATTATTTAAGAAAGTGATAATATTGTTTATTTTAATACTGATGAAACTATTTGAAACAATTACACAAATCATACACTTAGTTCCTAAAGGGATAGTTCACCCAAAAATGTTCTCATGATGTTCCAAACCTGTTGAACTCAGAAGAAGATCTTTTTAGGAATGTCAGTAACCAAGCAGCTTCTGGTTCTGCTTTTTAAAATATTTGAGTTCAAACTAAGAAGATATTTTGAAGAATTCTGGCCAAACTAGAGTTTCTGGTCTCCACTGACTTCCATACTATTTTTTTTCCATACTATGGAAGTTAATGGGAATATAGGATTATACAATTTTATTTTTAAAAATACTGAAAATTGTTACTTTATAATTGATTATTGTTTGGAAAAAAATTTTGTTAACACTTATTATGTCTGTTAGATTGTACTGTATCATCACTCTGTGCGTGTGTGTGTGTGTGTGTCTCTTTCTTTTTCTGTCCCATCAGTTGCGTTAGATGTTCTCTCTCTCCCTCTCTCTCTAGCTGCGTTTCCATTACCCTTCAAATTGCGCAAATTGCAAATACACAATAGAAACGTGTCAATTTCGCAAAAACTCCCATATATCGCAAAAAAATGTTTACGCTCACACGAGGTGGTTTTTCAGGCAATTCGAAAAAGAAAATTTTGCAAAACTGCAATAGAAACTTTTTTTTTCGCATTTACAAGTCGCATGATCATTCTTTAACCTCCAAGAAACACCTCATACGTGGCCGCTCACAAATATAAGGGGCTTTCCTTGCCATTAACTTGAATAACCCCTTATTTACACTGCATTACGCCCCGACACGGCACTCTAGTCAATGCTTGTGTTTACACCAGCCGCGGCAGGCTTCAGAAGTGGCCCAGAAGCAGCTCTTCGCGCTCCTTCTCTAAAGATACACACTAGGGCTTCACGATTATGACAAAAATCATAATTGTTGATTATTCCCTTGAAATTGTAATTTCGATTATTAATTACAATTATCACAATTTACATTGAATGATGTTTATACCATTGTTTGATGCGACTGCATGCCATATTTTTATATGAGAATAAACAAGCTGAAAACTCTTAACTGAAAAACCTTTAGTGCTTTTCTATAGTATTAAGCCTCAAAATGTTGCTGTGTCAACCTGGTCAGGATGTTCAAATAAAAATAATTCAAACTAAAACAATTTAAATTAAATATTAATAAAATTAAAACAATGGAAAAACCCTTAAGATAACCTGTTGAAAGAAAAGGACATATCTTAAGTGTGCAGAATAACTTAAGTGGACTTTGAATGATTAATTGCTGCTTTGAACGATTACGTAATTGTGGCATCCATAATTGTAATTGCGATTAGAAATTCGATTAATCGTGCAGCCCTAATACACACTTATGTGGCTAGTGCGGTGGCTGCGATACATGTAAACCTACCAACATCTGTCGCTATGACTTATCGCGAGAGGAAAAAGTTACGTTTTCCACGTTTTGTAGTCGCATAACATGGGTTAATGGAAACACCGTCATTTTGCAATAGTCTTTTATTGCCATTTATAAAATATAGCAAATTTGTAATGGGAACGTACCCTATCTCTCTCTCCCCCCCTCTCTCTCTCCCTTTCTCTTGCTCTCGCTCTCGCTCTCTCTCTCTCTCTCTCTCTCTCTCGGATGTTTTGTCTCGTCTTGTCTGAGATCACTGTGTGACTCATGCTGCTTAGAGGACAGTGCAGATCTCTAGTGTAAAGATGCTGGAAACAAAACCACATTTTCTCTTGAGACACACATACAGTATATACATAGACATGTGCACATGTATAGACATGCAGACTAAATCTTAGCACTTACAACATCATATGGGACACATTCATATAAATAATACCGTATAGTACAACTGGACATGTTACCTTGAAAAAAGGTTATTACATTTATATTACAATTAATTAATTTTATA